CACAAATCTAAACAACAAAAGAAAAGGCAATGTTATCTGGCTTCATGAATAAAGTTTTAGTGCATCATAAAGCTAAAAAAATGAATACTGCTATACTTTAAACTGGAGAAGACTTCAGTGGTCCTGTTATATTTTTATATAACATAAAATGTTTATTCCTTTTTGAATAAAAAATTGTAAAAAAAAAAAAGTACAAGATTTGTCCAAGTGCTATTTGATTTAGCCACATATGCACATTTAAATTTTTGCCAAGTAACTATATGCTATTATAGAATATTATGCAGCAACTGGAAGAAATAAATTAGTAAATTTGTTCCTAGGGATTTTTATTAGGATCCATTTCCTATGCAGAATGAACACCAGTAGGAAAGAAGAAAGGCTCCATATCCTCCTCCCCTTCTCAAATATTCATCCATAAATATAAGAACAGGTTTCTAAGGGGTAATAATATCTATATTAAAGGGGAGGGATAATTTCACTCTATAAACTAAGGAATAAATAACACTACAATTGCCATTTCTCTGATACAACATGAAGGCTCACTGTAATTTCCTTCACTATTTGGCAACAGCTGGCAACCTACAGAATCTATTCAGATGGATTTGTTTAGTTATAATTCATAACATCTATTTGTTTAAACTGCTATACAATTCTAAGCAGAAGCATAATGAAAAACATAGCTGTTATTACCTGTAAGCTAATAGTTGTTACCTATTAGTTATTACTGCAGCTACTGACTATACTCTAGTAATTACATTCCTTTAAATTCTACAGTGGTGTGGCTGTACTGTACTGAATCCAGTTCTGGGCACTGCATTTTAGGAAGGACTTTATCACACTTGAGTATGTCCAGAGAAGAGCAACTAATATCATAAGGGCCTGGAAGGGAGAAGCTACAAGGAGTTGGGCATGTATAGCCTGAAGAAAAGAAGACTGTGTGGAGACATAATTATCTTCAAGTATCTGAATGGCTGCCATGTAGAATGTGGGGTAGAATTGTTCAGAGTTGTTTCAAGTAAGAAGGCAAGATATCAGGGTTTTAAATGACAGATTTAAAGATGCAGATTTTAGTTGGACATCAGGAAAAATTTCTTAAGAGTAAGATCTGTTTAGCAATGGGACAGACTGCCTAAGCTGGTGGTAGATTCTTCTTTATTGAAAGTATTTAAACAGAGGCCAGATCTGTCAGGGGTAATATAGTAGTGGATTCCTGCACTAGGTAGGGAGTTCAACTCAATGATCTCAGAAGTCCCTTTCAAACTATACGTTCTATGGTTCTATTAAATAATTTCTCATTTCACAAGATCATACAGTTTTCATCTAAGATCAGCTGCCTAAGATAAACCAACTTTATGCAAGATCTGGCTCAGGGGTTCTTTTTTCCCCTTTATATTGGAACAAATCTCTATGTAGTACACCATATTGCTAGAGTTGCGTAGTGGTTTTTTTTTTACCCTGAAATGTTTATCACAGAAGCAATTAAATGTGGCTCCATGTATGACTATATCATAATATTTTAATCACCATAACATTATTCCTTTGTAGACATCCTTTGTTCTAGATTTTAGGCATCCTGACCAAGCACACAATCAGCAAATAAAGGGAGACAGTGCTGGTCCATGACTGTAATAAAGATTGAACTGAACTGAAAGGAGACAGTGAGACAAGCATGAGACCTCTGCTATCCCCTTGGTCACCTTCTTTGTTCCTATCCACACATGCTCCAAGGCAGACTCTAAGGCTTTGTAGGGCACTTCAATTTAAGAAACTTGATTGAAGTAAATGCTTTTGAAGTAAATCGTTACAGGTAGTCCTCAGGTTAGGATAACAATTGGGACCGGAATTTGTGTCACTAAGCAATGTGGTTGTAAAGCATGATGTCATGTGACTGTATCACTTAGCAACAGCAATTCTGACAGTACCGGTTGCTGTCATAACCCCAGGACTGCACGGGTCATTAACCGAGGATCTCACATGACCACCACATGGGAAGAGGCAGGAGTCCCAGGCAAGCAGGCCAACAGGCCAGCAGGTAAGAGCTGTGAGTGAGAGCTATGAGCAGGTGCTTTGGAGTTTGGGAAGGTGCATGGGTGCTGTGGGCAGATGCTATGGAGTGGATGCATGGGTGTCACAGGCAGGTGCTATGGAGTGCAGATGGGTGGGTGGGCAGGCCAAAAAGTGGTGGCAGCAGGAGTGACTTGTGACTTCCTGCCGGCTTCCCCATTGACTTCACTTGTACGAAGCTGGCAGGGAAGGTCACAAATGGAGATCACATGACCATGGGACACTGCAACCATCATAATTGCAAGCCAGTTGCTAAGTGCCTGAATTGTGACCATGTGACCACAGGGACACTGTAACAGCTGCAGCTTCATGGACCAGTTGTAAGTCCCTCTTGTTCAGTGCCATCGTAACTTTGAATGGTTACAACTACAACTAGTCGTAACCCAAGGACTACCTGTAAACTAAACAGGTGTTTCCTGCTGAAGCATCAAGTTTGAATGGCAGCCCACTCTGATCCAAATATTGAAAGGGGTTCTGTCCACTGAATTAACATTAACATTACAAGTCAAGGCACTGGGGCAGAAAAATTTGATTTTCTGAGTTGAGCACTGGAATGATTTAGATTGAGACAATGCCAACACCAATGCCAAAGACAATGTCAATGCCAACCTGGTTTAGGTTGAGGCAATGCCAAACCACTTGTAAAAGCCTAAAAGGGAATATCTGTAAGTTGGCCCACATGATGCAGAAGTTGGGCAATCGTCATTTTAGGAAGTCTGCATTGACACTAAATATTGTTGACAACATGTGAAGTATAGCAAATAAAAATCACCCTTTTTTCTAAAATATCTATGTCTATACCCTCTCCATGCTATACTTCAGTTTCCAAATTATAGCATTAGTTTCAGGGAGCTGAATGCCATTAACAATGCTGCATTGTGTATTTGCCATCTCAGAGACTCTTCATAAAGAACCCCAGGCTGGCTGATCGTTCTACTTTATCTCTGAACAACTACTGCTTGGCTATGGCAAATTAAGAAAACTCTGGATCATCACACTGATGATGTTACCTACTTGGGCAATGAAACATCTGCAAGCAAATAGCCAAGCTCAGAGAGCACTAAAGAACTCCACCTTGAATTACATATATTCTGTTCTATTAAAATTCTGGATAGTTGAAAGCAATTGGACTGGAGAACAGAAATTAGTAATTATTATCCATGATAGTAGGCACAGAAATTATCTCTCTTGCTCTCTCACTCACACATGCATGCACACACAGAGAGGGAATCGAGTGTAGTGGTTTAGGTGCTGGGCTAGAAAGTAGGAGCCTGTGGGTTCCAGTCTTCTCTAAGACATGGAAGCTGGCTAGGTGATTTTGAGCCAGTCACTTTCAGCCCAATCAACCTAACAGGTGATTTCTGTGCAGAAAATCAGAGGAGGGGGCATTATTGCACACTCTTTCATTGCACAAAATTTATAAATCATATGTATGTCTATATACCTACACACAGATGCATACCAACTGGCAGGTCTGTTTTAGAGTTTGAGGCTGGATGTGGAAAGAACTGTCTGTGGGTGTGGTTAGCTGGATTTGCCATCTGTTCTTGTTGTTTATTCTTTTATAATGATTGTATTCTGTTTTTATTTTATTGGTTTTATTGTACACTGCCCAGAGTCAGTTGGAGTTTGGGCAGTATACAATAAATTGAATACAATTAAATTAAATTGCTTAGTCGGGGGTGGGTTTTGGAAGGATATAGTCAGGCTATTGGAGTGTTGAAGGTTATATTGGAGAAGACAAATGAATGTGGGTGGAAATGGGGGTTTGTTGATGCAATGAGGATGTAGTAGTATAATAGGAGTGAAGGATGAGAGCAGAACTGAAGAAGGATTAAGAATGGAAGAGAGGAATTCCTTATAGGAATCAAAGGCTTGAGATGAGATCAGCAGTGAATGTGACTGTCAGTGAAGGAACAAAAGTTAGCATATGGCAGGCCAACAGTACTAGTAGTGAAGGCAGTGAGGAGAGAAAGGTACCTCTGTCACCTTCATGGCTGTAGTTAGTGCCATTTTTGTTGTTGCCACTGTGATGAAGTGAGGAATGGGTGACTGTGGGAGGCCAGAACAAGTAGAACTGGCAATAATAACCAGGGCCACTCTGTTTTATCAGGGCCAGCAGAGAATGGTGCATACCAATGCTCAACTGTCATTCCTGGAATGCTGCTGATGCTATGGAAACTGGAGCCAAGCAACTGGAGCCAAGGTACTTGTCTCTAGCTCAACTTACATACATTATCATGTTGGATCTGTTTCTTTTTTCTTGGAGCAATGGGGATGAAAGATGTTGTCATTTGCCCTTTGCTATGTTAGCTCACTTCCTGATTACATATGCCTTGTCAATATCCTAGACCTCTGCAAAGGTGACAGTGTGATTAAAATAGTTTGTCCCAGTCACCTAATGGATCTTGCAAGTTTTCAGCAACTGCTTGAGGTTTATCTCAGTGATCTGGTAGGCAATTTCTTCCTGTGCCTTGTGGAGCTCAGTGATAGTGAGAACACAGGAGATTGAGTGGCCTCTCTTTGTGTGTTGATCTCTGATGACACTAATCAATACAGGAAAGGAGAAACAGTTTTCATTCATTATTCCACTTTCTCCAGATTTTTGCAATGAATTTCTTAGCTCAAAAAGACATCAAA